AAAATTTGATCAAGACAGTAACATTTTTCATATCACCCAGCCCTACTATTACCTCTTGTATACAGAAAAGAAAGGTAAGTAAGATGCACAAATGTGATCAGATGAGAGTAAAGAGAAAGAGAGATACTCGTGCCCACACACCAAGGGCAAGTGGGTGTAGATGTATTTTCAGTAAATCCACCATTCTATTTTGTAGCTTCCTGCTTGATCATAACACCCTTCATAAGCGACACCATTTCTTAGAGTTTCTTATAGGCAATAAGATTAATTCATTGACTCTCAAAAGCTCCAGGAAATGTAGGAGTGAGAATCTGCAATTCAACCTCTGGTGCAGTTCACAGAAGGTAAAACAAATAGATATTTACATCTCTACCAAATTTACTGCAAGCTTTCGTCATTAACGTAAAGTAAAACCAGTTCAAGTTCTCTGTGAGAGCTTCGCCTTGCTTTGTCCAGAAGGCTAGATTGTCCCTGGGACCTGACACATCCATACACCAAAGTGTGAGAGAACAAAACAGCAGCGGCTCAACCTGACGGTCAATATCCTCGACTGGACGATTAAAACGTGTTTATTGTTTCCGTGGTATTTGGGGAGAAGAGACGATGAATGAATTTATATACACAATTTATATACACGCTTTTTACATATACAAATATATTATGCCAGACTAATCTAAGTCACCTCTAAGAGTGGTTAGAGTGCAATATTGCATTTGCATACACTTATGTTTTATATTTTATAAATTACAACATTGAGCGAAGCTTATCACATTTTTAAATCATGAATCTAGATTAAAACTTACATAAGATTTCTATACATTTATATTAATATTTTAGGTGCTGTAACTAGTAACTACTATTTCTTTATATTTTGCCGTTTTCTAAAGTCACACTTTCTCCTTCACTAGTTAGTTTTAAATAATCTGGCACTGTGATAAATTAATTTATCTTAAGTATAAATATTTCACATAGTATCTCAATTAATATCGCAATACACTTGAAAAAAATTATTAGCAAAATTGCATTGAAAATAGTTTTAGCATGCGCAGTACATCAGCAACCTATTAGATATTAAAACTGTCATTAGCATTGTAGCAACGTACGTTACACTTCCTGCAAAATTACATAATCAAAATGCAGCTCCCACTGCTCTATCATAGAAACATTCTGTCTTAGTTACATTTAGACTTTTGGATTACTGTAAGGAGCTAATAATTCATGAAATCTTCGCCGCTCATGAGAGCCAATCATTTTCTTCCCTTCTCCCCTTCCATGCGGTGCCGAGATCTTGGATCTGCTCTCTGTGCTTTAACACAAAGTGAGTGTTCTCTTGAATTTTGCATGCAAATGAACTTATTTTGCTGATGCAGAAAGGAGGACAACATTCCCAATGCTTTTCGTGTCTCGTGGTCAGTCATCGCTGAAGTGTCAGTTCAGCCAGAACTGAGGGGCCAAGACAGGTGTTTTGCAGATAAACTTCCATCATCATTATATATTTATAATAGGGATGAGCAGGAGGGTTTACTAGTCATTTGACTAGTGATTAAAAGTGACAGTAAAGACATCTTACAAATAATGTTGCTCTATGAAAAAAATGGTTTTCACAAATAAGAAAAATGAAAATTTGCTGTAAATTTACTCACCATCAGACCATTCAGCATATAGATGAGACAATTTTTCCAAATCTCCAAAAAACAGACTGTTTCTTCACTGAAGGATTTGGAGAAATTTAACATTACATTACTTGCTCACCAATGGATCCTCTGCAGTGAATGGGTGCCGTCAGAAACCTGACGGTCAATATCCTCGACTGGACGATTAAAACGTGTTTATTGTTTCCGTGGTATTTGGGGAGAAGAGACGATGAATGAATTTATATACACAATTTATATACACGCTTTTTACATATACAAATATATTATGCCAGACTAATCTAAGTCACCTCTAAGAGTGGTTAGAGTGCAATATTGCATTTGCATACACTTATGTTTTATATTTTATAAATTACGACATTGAGCGAAGCTTATCACATTTTTAAATCATGAATCTAGATTAAAACTTACATAAGATTTCTATACATTTATATTAATATTTTAGGTGCTGTAACTAGTAACTACTATTTCTTTATATTTTGCCGTTTTCTAAAGTCACACTTTCTCCTTCACTAGTTAGTTTTAAATAATCTGGCACTGTGATAAATTAATTTATCTTAAGTATAAATATTTCACATAGTATCTCAATTAATATCGCAATACACTTGAAAAAAATTATTAGCAAAATTGCATTGAAAATAGTTTTAGCATGCGCAGAACATCAGCAACCTATTAGATATTAAAACTGTCATTAGCATTGTAGCAACGTACGTTACACTTCCTGCAAAATTACATAATCAAAATGCAGCTCCCACTGCTCTATCATAGAAACATTCTGTCTTAGTTACATTTAGACTTTTGGATTACTGTAAGGAGCTAATAATTCATGAAATCTTCGCCGCTCATGAGAGCCAATCATTTTCTTCCCTTCTCCCCTTCCATGCGGTGCCGAGATCTTGGATCTGCTCTCTGTGCTTTAACACAAAGTGAGTGTTCTCTTGAATTTTGCATGCAAATGAACTTATTTTGCTGATGCAGAAAGGAGGACAACATTCCCAATGCTTTTCGTGTCTCGTGGTCAGTCATCACTGAAGTGTCAGTTCAGCCAGAACTGAGGGGCCAAGACAGGTGTTTTGCAGATAAACTTCCATCATCATTATATATTTATAATAGGGATGAGCAGGAGGGTTTACTAGTCATTTGACTAGTGATTAAAAGTGACAGTAAAGACATCTTACAAATAATGTTGCTCTATGAAAAAAATGGTTTTCACAAATAAGAAAAATGAAAATTTGCTGTAAATTTACTCACCATCAGACCATTCAGCATATAGATGAGACAATTTTTCCAAATCTCCAAAAAACAGACTGTTTCTTCACTGAAGGATTTGGAGAAATTTAACATTACATTACTTGCTCACCAATGGATCCTCTGCAGTGAATGGGTGCCGTCAGAATGAGAGTCCAAACAGCTGATAAAAATATCACAATAATACACAAGTAATCCACACTACTACAGTCCATCAATTAATGTCTTAAGTAAAAAGCTGCATGTTTGTAAGAAATAGATTTACCATTACAGTGTTTTAACTATAAATTGTCACTTCTGTTCAAAAATATGACTCCGTAATTCATATTAATGCTCCTCCAGTGAAAATGTTCATCCCCTGTTGTCCTCTCACATCAAAATTCACCAATATATTTGTTTAAAGCTGTTCTGGATTAGCTTGTAAATCTGTTCTGTTTTAGCTTGTAAATCTGTGCATGTTTCTCTCCTGTTTCAGACTAGACAACTTTTTCTCTAAAGAAAGCAGTATTAAGGATAGAGGACTCGTATTTTAGCCGGAAACAACAATGTAAAGTTAAAAAGGTCTTGATGAATTTGTTTCTTACAAACACACAGCTTTTCCCTTCATAAGCTGTTAACAGATGGGCTAGAGTTGTGTGGACTACTTTTCTAGATTTTTAACAGCTGTTTGGACTCTCATTCTGCGGCACCCATCCACTGCAGAAGATCCCTAAGTGAGTAAGTAATGTAAAGCTAAATTTCTCCAAATCTGTTCCGATTAAGAAACAAACTCATCTAGGCTACATCTTGGATGGACCGAGAGTAAGTACATTTTCTGAAACTTTTCATTTTTGAGTGAACTTTTCCTTTACGCAGCACCACTGTTTTCAACATTGATGATAAGAAATGTTTTTTTGAGCAGCAAATGAGCATATGATTTTTGATTTTGAAAATGACTTTTTAAGGAACATGACACTGAAGACTGGAGTAATGGCTGCTGAAACTTCAGATTTACATCACAGGAATATATATAATCACTAATTGAACACACTAAAACATGCTTCTTTAAATTCAACTCCTCTAAAGCACCTACGGCCATCAAAGCAGCACTTCTGCAACAAATTCACTGCATTCAACAACACACATATCAAAAAAATTACTATGAAGGATTTGTCCACACCATGAGACATTTTATCACACTTCAGTCTTGCTATTTTTGATCACAAGAACATGTTCTGAGAATAAACCTAACCTGATTGAAGTTTTGTGCTTGCTTATGACCAACAAGCCAACTGTTCAGACAAGCTAAGGACAAGTCGATTCTGAAAATAGGTAGTTTTGTAGATAGCAAATATATAGTGCCATACCAAAAATATAATCTCACTGCTCTAACCAAAATGGAATGTATAATCTGATAATAAGCACAAGGTGGTTAAAAACTGAAATGGTCAGAGTGAGCCCTCATCATGATACTTCTTAGCTGTCTTTGCTCCTTTTTCGGATTTGACAGGTTACAGATCCAAAGTACCTCAGAGGCATTAAAAATTTACCACCTCCAATAAATGCAAGATCACTCTCAGACAACTATCAAATTCAAAGCCCGACTTCTACAAAGAGTCATGATGGGTGATTACCGGCCTGACATTTTCAACTTTCAAATGAATTCTGAGTGTCAAGGTACACCTTTTTTAATTCATTAAAAGTGAGAATTAAAAAAAGATAAGCTAGACTGCCTAAGCAAAGGTTAGTCGTTTAAATGCAACCCAGACCAAAGAGCTCCAGAGACATCAGAAAACGGAGTTTCTGCACAGGACGGACCTCTGTGCGTTCACAGCTTTTTCCAGGAGTGCTCATCTCCTGCGTCTCTAAGCTCCTCTGTCTCATTAAAGATGTAACCATGACCTTTCCTCATATTCACAAGCTCCGACTGTGCATAAACATTCTCCTGTTTGCACTAACGTGTGAATGATTCAGCAGCAAGCTCAAGATGAAGTCCCCTGCATGGGTCGGACATCACTCTTTCCAGCTGATCAGGGACCTTTCCATCCCTTCAGCAAGCAATGGCTTATGAGGCTTTCCAAAACAAACCGTAAGATTATGGAAACCCAATCGTGTTCTTACCTCGATGAGGAAGTCTCCAGTCCTCAAGCCAGCTTTCCATGCCACCCCTCCCTCATCCACAGACTCCAGATACTGCAAAGCAGGGAACGCCGGGGTCGGAGTGAACTCCTCAATAGGAGTATCCGCTAAAATCCAGGCCGTGCCAGACAAGACAGAACCAAAGGAAAGATATCGTAAAGATCAAAAGTCAGTATGCTAGTTTTATGGGCCGATTCAACCTAATTCTGGACTACAAAATATTTTAAATAGTACATATACATATATATTACT